GCTGAGGCCACAGCCCCACAAACACTCGGCTGCTCTGGATCTTTTATCCTCTCCATCTGTGCTGCAGTTACCTGTCAGATGACACAACCAAGTGCAGGCTACAAGATCAGACTAACTGATAAGACGGTAATAATTCTCCATTATTGGTACTTCAGCGTGTCTGAACAGCAACAACAACCTGCAAGAAATGGACACTTCCCTGAGAAGTAAAAACAATTAAAGCAACAGACTGCATCAGTTTCTGCTGCCGAGTTTCAAACATACAAACACAAAGAGCACAAGCAATCCTCTTTAGTTGAGTAAGAACATACAAGTTAACAAACTGTTAAAGTACAGCACACAGCAGCAGCTGCACAGAAAGCAATTAATTACAACATATAAGTGCGTCACGAAGACAAGCAACAAAGCCCTCAAGCAACTGTTACAACACAACACAACACAACTCAGGACACAAACAAGCAAGAAGATAATCTATCTGCTCAGGCAAACTGTTTTCTGCATAATTTAATAATATTTATTGTAATGCATTCTGTTTATTGGATTTTTATGCACTTCATATGTTAGTTATAAACTTTGATCAGCGTGTATTATTGTTCATCTTACACATGATTTTCACAACAATATTTTACATTAAACTTAATTCTACTGATGAGAGTTATAATGAGTTTTGCATCATTATAGATATATAACTATTAGGGGTGCAACAATACATGTACCCGTATCGAACAGTGCTTTAGGTTAAATACACACTTGTATGGAATAATACAAATTTTAACATTTATTTTATCAACTTGTCTTCTGAAGATGCTCTGTGTTGAAGGATCAGTGGATCTGTGTTCGACTACTCCACCGAGGCTGCATTTTTGAGCTCAGATCCACTGAGAAACTTGCTGTTTCAGCAACATTTAATTTAAAAACTGTACTTTTGAGGTTAAACAAACGTTCATAATTAATTTAAATAAATTACAAGTTAAAAAGTGAGTGAAAATTTCTCGGTTTTTTGTATCGAAAAAATATCAAAACATGAGACTAAAGCATCGAACCGAATCATGAATTTTCTGTATCGTTGCAGCTCTGTTATAGAAACAGGTACAACATGAAACTGATGATTATGTTTTGACAGGGATGATTGTATGAGCCACACAATGAAAACAGCACAGACTGAGACCATTTTTCACAGAGCTGTCATTGATCCAAGGTGCTGATTTTTATTTTTTACTACAACACTAACCTAATGACTTAGTTTGACCCAATTTGCACACCTGAGTTCAGCTCATTATAACAGGTGTGTTTTTTTATTAGTAGTAGTTGTAGTATTTTGTAATTTTGTATTTTTCTGCACGGTATCTGGCTTTTATTTTCAATTTTTTACTGCTAGTCCGGTGCAGTAATTATTATTCTTATTTTTTTATTTTATTCTATGTTTGTTTTATTGTTACTCTCTTTAATTCTATTATCATTGCTACAGTTGATAATGTTATATACTGTTTCTGTGGATTGATTTATGTATCTGCTGCTGCTATGACACCTGAACAGCCTTTATTTCGGGAAATAAAGGCTGGTTCTATTTTATTCTATTGTTACCCTTTGTTCTAAATGTTTATGTACAACTTCCTGGTGAAAGTTAGGCAGTTTTTTTTTATAAAAATCTTTTTATCAGACATTTTTCATTTCTTCTAACTTGCTGATAAGTGGATAAAATCACTGAATCACTAAAAAAAAAGGTCATTTTATCTTCTGTGGAGCTGTTTTTGTTTTCAGTGACGGAGGGAGGGTGCGCAGCTCCCGGAGCAGCGATGGGCGGTCCCTGGCAAGAAGAGCTGCGCTCCTATTGGGTGGTGGCTGTTCTTCGTAGGCGGAGCCAGCAGAGAACAAATACTCGAGCTGCGCTGGTGAGAGAGACACACAACAAGTGTAGCAGTGAGGATAGACAGTGTAGCTGGTGATATCAGGAGCAACAGAAGTCAAACACAGCTGCTTTTAGCGTTAATTTAAAACTTCTCAAAGGATTTTATTTGATTTTTATTTTAATTCATCGCTTCCCAGACGAACTGCAGAGGTTCCTCGGAGGAACGAAGCCATGGATGTGGTGTTCCGGGTGTGTTTGGTGCTGACAGCCGGAGCGTGGTTCGGCTCGGCGGAGAGACACAGCGTGTACTGGAACAGCTCCAACCCCAGGTAACAACTGCTCCCTGCTGCCGAACACAAGTTCTCTGACCCATGAAACGGTTCGTCTGGGTCAGTCAGGATGCTCCACCGTAACTTTAAACTTTCAGTCATCATGAATCTGTCAGCGAGCACCACCTCGTGTTATTACCTCTTTATTATCACCTGATATATATATATA